ACCTCCGCAAATGTCCCTTCTTGCAACCGTTCAACCTTTGACTTCTCACTTCCTCCACCTCGACCAAGATTCATCCTTAAGACTACAATGTTCTTGCGTCTTCATAAATCCAGGGTCATACGTGGCAGGGTAGGGTCACAGGACTAAGAAGCGGGGGGGTGGGAGAAAAGGGGGGTGTTGGTTATTGAGTGGTAAAATCAAGGTTACATAATCAGACAGAACAGTAAAACGATAATTGTCCTTTCATTGGGGGAGGGTAGGGATAACTGACTACAAAGAGAGGTACTATTTGAATTGAAAAGGAGGATCTTGAGATAAGTGGCTACAAAGAAAGGTACTACTGGAATTGAAAAGGAGGATCTCAGTTACCAAGAACTGAGCAATAAAAGCTATATAATATTAATATATGATAACCACAACAAACAATAACAATAAAAACAACACTAACAACAGCGACAATAATGATGAGATCAACAGAATAGTTGTGCAAGGGGGGGTGTACTTGGGTAGCGCAGGGGCTGTTGTAGTTTAGACGGTGGCCTACGGCTTATGGTAGCTCGGGGAGAGGGGTCAGATATATAGGGCGGCCTGGATAAAAAAATCAAGGGGGAATTGAGGGTCTAGTGACGGGGCCCGTAGGGAAAATGTGCAAGCCAAGCGTCGGAAGTACCCATACGTACTATGTGCACCCCTAGCGTCGGAAGTACCCGTATGTACAACGGGGCTTGTTTGAAAAATGCTGCAACCAGGGCTAAATGGGATATTCTGCTTAGAGCTGGTGCAACCTGAGGTAGGACCCAGGGAGTGGGGTGTGCCAAGGAGAATTGACGAAAGGAGGTGGGTGGCATCTCCTGAAGGGAGATGCCACCCAATATAAAACAAGAAAAAGATAACCCACCAGCAGCCAAATAGCCAGACAGATAGCCATATAGCCAGACAACCAGCTTGATAGCCTTATAGCCAGATAGCCATCTTGATAGCCAGCTTGATAGCCATCCAGATAACCTTGAAGCCGATGTCAATGGTACTTGTGGAATCCAGGCATGGCAGCTTTCTAGTGGGTAGCAGCGATCTCCATTTTCAAGTCCTGGTTAAGGGATCCAAAACTGGAATTGGGGTCAATTTTTTGTGTTTTTTTTTTTTGGCTGTTTTTGTTTTAGGTCAAGGTTCCGGTGTGCCATATTTGGTGTCTTTTGGACTATTGGAAATAGCTGTGCTGAAATTTCTGTTGGGGTGGATTTTAGTGAATTGTGCATGAAAGTGCACTTTTGCCTTGCAGAAGTTGCAGTTTTATGCTTTCTCCCCCCCTCCCCTTTTTTTTCGCCTTTAGTTAATATGGTGTCCACTCTATGGATTGGTGACAATTTTGGTTACAAAGGTCATGGCTACGATGCGGACGTCCGGACCGCCGTCCAGACGGTGCGGATTCAGTCCAGACTCCAGACCTCCGGTTTGGAGGGTCCGGATCTGACAAATTTCAAGGGGGGAAAAAACAAAAAGGACATCTGGGACCCCTTCCCCACTGAGGATCCGAGCCCCCAAAATTGTTTTGGGGGTTTTTCAGGCCCGTTTTGTTTTTTCTTGGGGTCCGGACGTGGTCTATCTGTATAATAATTTATTATACGTACCCATTATTTCAATTGTTATTAATTTATTACTTTTTGAAAGTTTGTTTAAAGTTTTTATAGTTTTGACTTACAACTCAAGTTTGGTAAGGAGCTCGGACATGACTGTGAGGCAAAAGTAGTTTGTATTGTCATTCTGCATAACATTTTTTTTTTCCAGATTTTTTTGATTTTTTTTTTACCGTCCCAACATTTCCGGACCTGTTCACTGGTCCGGACTGTCTGGAACCATGCATGCCCGGAGGTCCGGACTGTCTGGAACCATGCATGCCCGGAGGTCCGGACTGTCCAGAACCATGCCTGCCCGGAGGTCCAGAAGTCCGGACGACCGGACATGCGTCCGGTTCCCGGAAATGAGCTGTCCGGGTCCGGGTCCGGGTGCGGCGTAGCCATGAGAAAGGTCTTTTTTTTCTTTTTTTGAGACTAACACAGTCCATGTATTACGTCAAAACATGGGTTTTGTTATCAAAGGCATGATAAAATCACTGAAAATTCAGGCCACCTCTTGAACCCTCCTTGCGAGGAGACACAAACCCAGGTCATGATAAGTTGATAACCTCGAAGTTCAAATCATGAACCAATACTCGAGTTTGAGGTAAGTGCATCGAGTTGCAATACAATGATGGAGAGTAGTAGAGAAAAGGGAGAGAAACCAATGAGAAAACGAGCAGAAGAAAAAGAAGAGTGCAAGAATGTTGTCAATGTCTCATCTCGCCACTATACCATCACCCTCATATTTCGTCCTCTCTTGTTGTTCATCAGCAACAAAGGAATACACGTTCTGCACTAGGAATCAATCTTCTTTGGATGGATTTCTCCAGCAAATGCTCTTGAGAGATGTGCAGAAGTCCCCTCAGCTCGTCTACCCCAAAACTCATCTTTCGTAGCATACTACTGTGTCCAGTGTGTCCTCTTTCCATGCCATCCAAACGGGATGCACAGAAGACGACACAATAGAACTTGCCCCTCTTCTGTAGAGAAGCATTTTTTTTGCTACATTCTTCGGAGAAGCATTTTGCTACATTCTTGGGAAAGGTATTTTGCTACTTTCTTGGGTGAAGTCGCCTGATGTAATGCCACACATGGGGAAGTCTTCGTCATGGCACTTCCTCCTCTTCTTTCTGCTCTCGTTGGTTCCTCTTCTTCTTCTTCTACATGCCAAAAGGTGGGCATGAATGCCGATCGCCATCGCCAAACCTTTCTTCTTAGACCTCCTACTACTGCATGGAGGTCGATCCCCTCACCTCCAAGGTCTCTCTTGACCCCCAGCTGCTCCGGTTCTCACCCTCAGGCCGGAGCAGCATGATGACTGCTGGGGAAGTGTGTAAACTGAACTGGCACACCAAGTTAACGGGTAGACACAGCATGCAAGCTTTCCCTTTGCCAGGGTCCGCCTTGCCTCCAGGTCTACCAGCCCTCTAGAAAGGCATGAAAAGCATTACAGACTGCTATGTCCCTGTAAGCTAGGCCGGGTTCTGGTCCTACCCCTTCTCTAGGCTTTCAAATTGCTGACAGATCCAGTCATAGTGCTCAGGTTAGCATCCTGGTTCAGAAACCACATGAAGTCTAAAATTTACAAATAACTCAACAAGAATTTACTTACCTGTCTGTTGCAGCCAACTTATTGAGCTAGACCTGCAAGCTCACCGTTTAGTCTCCTCTGTCTTCTTCTTCTTCTCTGTTGCAGCCAACTTATTGAGCTAGACCTGCAAGCTCACCGTTTAGTCTCCTCTGTCTTCTTCTTCTTCTTCTTCTTCTGCTGCTGCTGCTGCTGCTCCTCCTCCTCCTCCTCCTCCTCCTCCTCCTCCTCGGCCAAGAGCAAAGGATCAACAGACAGGTGACAGCAGGAGAGAAAAACAAAGGGAAAGAAGTGAGAAGAGGAGCCGAAATAGAAGATTACAAGAATACTGTCAATGCCAACCGTCCCTTATCTGGCCGCCTCACCATTACCCTCATATCTCCTCCTTTCTTGTTGTCATCAATAATAAAAGAACATGATCGAACCAAGAATCCATGTTTGCCGAGTCTCCCCCTTCTTGAATGGTTTTTAGAATGAATCCCGTAAGCCTAGTTTGATGATGCATTACTCAAACTTGGAGTTTGCAAACCAAAGATGAACAGCAGGAGAGAAAAACAAAGGGAAAGAAGTGAGAAGAGGAGCCAAAATAGAAGATTACAAGAATACTGTCAATGCCAACTGTCCCTTATCTGGCCTCCTCACCATTACCCTCATATCTCCTCCTCTCTTGTTGTTCATCAATAATAAAAGAACATGATTGAACCAAGAATCCATATTTGCCGAGTCTCCCCCTTCTTGAATGGTTTTTAGAATGAATCCCTTCAGGTCTTTAGCCCCAGACTCCCTCCTAGCAGCGTTGTCGACCTCCGTCCCTGGACCTCCGGCGGGGATCCCGGGGTCCGGGGGTCCCGAACCCTGGGTCCAACCCCCCCCCCCCCAAAAAAAAAAAAAAAGAAAAAAGAAAAGAAAAGGATGCAGGCGGGGGTGTAGGGGTTGGGGCAGGGGCAAGGGTGAAGGGGCGAGGGCGGGGATTAGGGACTCCCGCTTCTGGGGTCTGGGGGTCAAACCCCACCCCGGCTCGGCCCCCGGGGATCCCTGAGTGACAACACTGCCTCCTAGCACTGTAACATCCAGCACTTCATCCAAACCACTCAAGGGTGATGTATGAAACGCAACACAAAAGAGCTTTCCCCCTCTAGTCTAGGGCAGCATCACCACACTGTTGGGTGAAGTGTCCACTCAAAGAAGACCCTACAAATGTTTTCATAATGTAGCACCACACAAAGGCGTGAAGATGGTAGTCTTCTGCACCCAAAGGTGAGCTTTTCTAATAAGTTTTTATCATGGTTCCTCTCTTCATCTTCTTTCTCTTGGACACTTGGAAGCCCTAGTTTTCCTCCAAGTTCTCAAAGTGGGCGCTAACGCTCATCTGCATGACCAAACCCTTGTTTGCCGTCCTATCCACCTCCATTGCCATGGATGTTGCCTCCTCATCTCCAAGCTCCCTGTTGACTCTCCAGATTCTCCACTACTCACCATCACGGCGACTAGTGACATGGCTGCCGGAAAAGTGTGTTACTGAACCGACACACTCTCTCTTCATCTTCCTTCTCGTGGACTCTTGGGAGCCCTTGTCTTCCTCCAATTTCCCCAAGTGGGCACTAAGACTCATCGCCATAACCAAACCCTTCTTTGCCGTCCTGTCCACCTCTATTGCCATGGAGGTGGTCTCCCTCATCTCCAAGCTCTCTGTCGACTCTCCAGCTCCTCCACTACTCACCATTGAGGCGAGCAGTGAAATGGCTGTCGGAAAAGTGTGTTACTGAACTGACACACAGCATGTTTTACACTGGCAGGTCTAGTAGATCTAATGACAAAGCTCTCCAGGGTGTTGTAGAGGTCGGTTTCTGGACCCACGACAAGTACCTATCTACAGTCAGCAACTAATTTATGGGACCCAGACCATCCTATCTTGGAGGATCCCCCTCAGACAGCCCCTACTGCAGGTTCCCGAACGATTTCCTCCACCAGATTTCCTCCACCAGAGTCTGTCTACTAATACCCCTCCTACCGGGATYCCTTAAGACAATCCCCTACTGTAGGTTCCCCACCGATATCCTCCAGCAGAGCTTGTCCCAAGCCAACCCTCCCCCCAAACAGGACCCCATCCCAACTCTGAGTCAGGTCCTTGCCCCCCCCAAAGCAGAGCCTAAGGTAACTGACACATATGAGCAGTCTAACCACAAACGCGTACCTGCATCCTCATTAGACTGCTAACTGTATCAGGCAAACCCCTCATAGGCCAGGACCCAGCATACAACACCATGGGCAGTCCCCTGTGTGGTGTGCAGGCAGTGCTGTAATAGCTTACCATGCGTCAGCCCAAAAGGTGTGCGTCCAGCCGTGCGTCATTCTAACGCCCTGCCGGTGTCCATGCGTGAGGCTGCGGATTTGAACCCGCAACCTCATACCACAATGCGCATCTCCAACCGGTGCTCTAACCACTGAGCTACACAGGCGACTCTAGGCCTTATCTGCCTTGCCTCCATGCCTACCAGCCCTCTAAAAGGCGAGGAAAGACTGTAATCTCCCTTAGAATCTGAGACTTAGCGGATATACCTAGCTTAGCATGGGCTTATATTCGGTCTGTTACCATCATTACACCTGCTGCTAAGTCTACCTGACATATGGCCTCTCCAAGTTGCTGAAAAATTCCTGTTGGGTCCCTGCAACTTTAGCAATATGCTCCTCACCACCCTATTCTTGTCCATATGTTGGGACCAGCCCACACTGGCCCACAACATTGTTTATGTTTGACTTGCTTTTGCAAAAGCGCTGGGCCTGCTGGGGCTGGAATTGGTTCCTAGGCCTGTAGAACTCGTTTTCAGTTTTTTAGCAAGTTGTACTGCTGCGTTTTGAACCTACTGTCTTCGTCCAAACAGAATGCCTGGTCAAAATCACTCTATCCAAACTGAAGGTTGCCTCAAATACAGCTATAATCAGTGGTCATTCTATTCGGGTGAAGACGGTAAGCAGACTGTTTAGTCTAGGTTATGTCAGGCCAGTCATGGTTGTATTCAAGAATTTCACGAGCATATGTTAGCTTAGGTTGTGCTGGGCCAGGAGGTACGTAGTTGTATTCAAAAATTGCCGGTCAGAGCATGGTCCTTGGGACTGCGTGGCATATGTTAGTCTAGATTGTACTAGCCTAGTAGGTACGTGGTTGTATTCGAGAATTTGGGGACAAGTCAGTTCAAAAACAGTGGGCTGTCCCAACGGCAATACTTTTGCACTTCACCTGCATCACGAACGAGGAAGCATTGGATGTCAGTGCAGCCATATCATATATGTAACTCCACGACCACGCAATCAATTGCTACTTTATTTCTTGCATGTGGAACAGTGTGGCTAGGTGTCTAGGTAGGCAAGTTCTGGTAAGATTTCCTCTTGTGTGCGGTCTGGAGGTTAGGTGACTAATCAATCAAGTATAGGGTTGCACCCCTGGCGACCGCCGACCCCGACCATATTGCAGCCGACCAGTAGGGCCGACCGGTTGACGGTCTGCCGACCAGTCAGAAAACAACCATCCACTGATTTTTTTTCAAATCTGAGTTGGGGGCTGTACTGCGCTTGCCGAGTACAGCCCAAATCCGATGAGAAACTTTTGGGTATTGGGGGGGTTATGGCAGGGTTGGGGTCGGAGCATACCTGCGGCGCAAGTGTGCTGGTCACTGATGCGCGAAAGAAAAAAAAAGAAAAAAGACAAAAAGAAGCGGCTGTTATATATGAGAACATGCAAGAGAGAGAGAGAGAGAGAGAGAGAGAGAGAGAGAGAGAGAGAGAGTAAACAAGTAGCTCCTTAGCATTTATTTGAAAACCCCTGCGGGTTATCTGAGAGGCCCCTGCACATAATTAGCAAGGGCCACCTCACCATGAACGAGGTAATGCTCATAGCCATGCTAGAGTCATGGCGCGTCAAGCATATATGCTGTTGATTCACATTAAGGTCCGTGTTTCAGCAGTTATGGGACCACTGAGCACGCGAGTTTCGGGGCAGTAGCAGGCCAACTCACCACGCGCTTTTCAGGGCTTCCCTCCACGACTCACCAAATGTGCAAAACTAGAATGAATCTTCTGCTAGAACATGGAACCATACGCCGCCATATGTTTTGTCGTTTGTGCAAGTGGTGAGGAGTGGAGCAAGGTCCTTAGGGCCAC